GCGCCACCACCGCCCGGCTACACTTTTAATCCCAGAAGTTAGGAAGCAGGGGCAGGCGGATCTCCAAGTTCAAGGCCAGCCTGGTCTACAGAGCAAGTTCCAGGACAGCCAGGGATACACAGAGAAACCCTGTCTTGAAAGAACTCCCCCCCCAAACAACAACAAAAACCCCACCTTCTCATCTTGGCCAAGCCCTCCTATTGACCTCATGACCTAGTAGTCTGTTCCCACTTTGAATCTCGTCCTAGTTTGCTTCTGTGGTGGTGATACAACACTGACCAAAACCAACTCGGAGGAGGAAACAGTTTATTTGGCTTACAAGTTACCACCCATAATGGAGGGAAGCCAAGGCTATTGAGGAACCCAGCTTGCTGGCTTACTCAGCTACCTTTCTTATACAAGTCAGAGGCCACCTGCCTAAGAATGGCACCATTCACAATGGGCTGAGCCCACTTACATAAATTAACCATCAAGAAAATGCCCCACAGAGGTGCTTAGTCTTACTGTGACTTGATATGCCATGTCTTCTTATTGATATTCATAGGAGAAGTGCCCTTTCCTGGATGGAGACAGAAGAGGAAGGGATTGGTGGGTAGGAGGAGGGGTTGGGAGGGGAGACTGAGGAGAAGGAGGTTTCAGCTGGGATGTAAAATAGATGAATTTAAAAAAAAGAAAGAAAATGCCCCACAAACATGCCCATATGTCAATCTGATGCCCGCAATTCCTCAATCAAGGTTCCTTCTCCCCAAGTGTGTCAAGTTCACAACCAAGATTAACCATCACATCTTCCCTCCAGCCTGACACCTTCTCACTACCCATTAGCTCTTGCTATGGTTTGAATATGAAATGTTCCTCAGACTCATGTGTTAGGGGCTCAGTTGCCAGCTGATGAGCTCCTAGGAAATTACTGAGGCATAGTGTTTATCCTTCATAAACGGATTGATTAATCTACGGATGGATTCCTAATTTGATGGTGACAGGGAGGTTATGGAGAAGTTGGAAGGTAGGCCCTACTTGAAAGATCATTGGAAGCATGCCTCAAGAAGACATGTTTTGTCTCCTACTCTCTGCCACATGCTCCCTGCCTTGATAGTCACCTTGCCACAGACCCAAGAACAACAGAACCCAATGGCCATGGGCTAAAACCTCAAGACTGTGAGCCAAACAAAAGGCAGAAAGAAGTCTAACACAGCCCTGTTGGCTTCCTGTTCTCCCACCACATGCCAGGCTGGCCCCTGCCTCAGAACAGGTGCACCTGACATTGCTTCTGAGAACTGCTTCTGCAAACATCTAGGGGGCTGCTCTCAATGCCTTCCCATCTATTCCCCAAGCCAACTTCTCAGAGAGCGCTCCATCAACACCTGAAGTAAAGGCACAGCAGTGGTTCTCCATCCTCCTCAGGCTGTTTCTGTTCCTGATGCTCACATGTCTGGCAGACTGGCCTTGCTTGCTGCTTCCTGGGACAGAATGCCGAGAGAGAGAGAGAGAGAGAGAGAGAGAGAGAGAGAGAGAGAGAGAGACTGACTGACTTACCTTTTTCTACACAGATGGATTCTTAAGGAAATTGCCAACAAAAGCAAATATTCAACTTATGTTCACTGAAGTACGGAGGATGGATCACAGGACACCCAAGCTCATCATGTATGGATCCTTCATATTTTAACTGAAATACAGTCACATTGGTCTTTCCCTAGCACAGAAGGTGGTGTGGTGGCTTCATCTTCATCTGTTATGTAGTAGTATACCTCAGAGCCACTACCAACCTGCAGTCCATACTTCCTATGATCCTAGACATTGCTCTCATTGGTAAGTGAAATATAGTTCCCTTCTGGAGATAAAAATGCCTGCCCACAGTGGAGAGTAGAACAAAGAATTCAAAAATGAATTCTTCTTTCTGGAATGTCATCTCTTTAGGAAATGTTTTGGTTCAGCCCGTGGCAAGGCTTTGGTACTTAACTCATGAGCACCACTCATGGTGGAGTAAACAAGGCGGGGGGCACATGTCCGGGATGCACCAATGGTTAGATGCAGCGCAGGTGCAGGCCGCAGACTAGGAGCTTCCTTCATTCCAGGTTCCAGAGTCAACCATGGCTCTGAGCTCTGCAACCTGAGACTAGCTCTGATCCCACAAAGGGAATGGCCCTTCTGCCTCTTAAGAGGGAGCATGGCATGTATGTGGACAGCCTTCCTGTAAGTTGAAATGAGTCCTAAAACACTAAAGCATTTGGTGACACCCATGCTTTAACACCCACTAGCTTTTTCTCTCGTTTTCATTCATGCATTCACTCAACAATGCTCCTGAAGACTCCTCTAGGTTTCAGTCGATTTGCAATGCCCTCGCCATCTTTGAGTTTTCTTTCTCCTCAAGCTCTCAGCCTAGCGCTGCCCTGCGGAATTGAAACTTGGGACACTTGGGGCAAAAGAGGTGTCTGGCTGCTGTACAGTCAACATAAAACACTCCCTTCGGGGAAGCTGGGAGTCCTCAAGTCTGCTGGCTGTCTTGAACATTCTGTAACCTCGCATGCATTATGAATGAGCTGGGTGACCTCTCTGAAATATCCCTTAAGAGAACACCATGAGGAAGAAAGAGTGAAGACTGACTGGAGCCCCGGGTTCGGTGGGGACAAGCTTGTCAGTGCTGGCACTTCTACATGGCACGAGGCCCAGGCATAGCAGGTGGCACAGACACAGGCTTAATTGATAGCTTAATTAAGGAATTAGGTAGGTTATAACTTCCAACCCACAGCTTGGTTAAGCTAAATTTCATTCTCTTTCCCGTGGAAATACACAGAGAAGTAAACAAAGGGTGGGTGTTGTCCGCTCAGGAACTGTTGCTTAAAGAATTTGTCCCATCTGTATGCAAACTAGAAGGGAAAATGGTGTTGAGAAAATGTCAACACACACTACCTGCACTTCCTGGAAGCCTCTCCAAGAATCCCCCAAAGGCAGCTGTTTACCCTATTTCCTCAAGAACTTTCCTAACTGCCTTCTGAAGAGAAGCTTCGTCCTCAGGAGGCCCTGAGCCTGGGGAATGGCTTGATCACAAGCCAACCTACAGCCATGCCACTGAGCCCTAAGTTTAGTAGAGCATTTTCCAGTCTTAATAACTAGATCAAAATACCACGTCTGGAATCTTGCTGATTGCTTGGCTAATTTTACAGTATCTGGCTTCTGGTCTTCTCTGGGTCTTAGGCTTGGGGCAGGAGCATGTTAACTAGTCACTGTTTTAAATGTGCATAGAGACGAAGCAGGAGTTGGTGGTGTGGTTTGAATGTGACATGTCCCCCACAGGCTCACGTGTTTGAACATTTGGTTCTCAGCTACCAGTGCTGTCCTAGGAGGTTACAGAAGCTTTAGGGGGCAAGGTCTAACTGGAGGAAATGGGCCACGGGAAAGCAGACAAACAGAGGCCAGAGATCTGTTTCCAGGCCCACAGAGGTGTCAGGAGTCCCAGCCACAGGCTTCCACTGCCATGACCTCTGCCAGTCCTTCCCCATCACAATGGCCACCCTCTCTCAGACTATAAACCCTGATAAATCCTTCCTTCCTAAGAGGCTTCTGTCTGGTCAGTGACAAGAAAAAACTATACAGTTGAGGATGGTAAGCCCTGGCTCTTGCCTAGTCCAGGGATTTCAGCAGCAGAAACAGCCTAGTGGGTAAATGCACTTGCTGTACATGCCTAATGACCCGTGTTATCCCAGAACCCACATAAGACCTGAATGCAATAGCTCAAGTGTCTGAAATCCCAGCAGGCCACATAGAGATGGGTGGCTGAGGCAGGGCAATCTCCAGAGCACATGGGCCAACTAGCCTGGCTTGTCCAGTGAAGTTTCTGACTTCCACAAGCATGCCTGAACCCCACCCCCACAAATGTCACACACGTCAATAATAATCACAGTTTAAGAACCATTTAGTTTGAGATCAGTGACACAGAACTGAGCCTCGTGGCATTGGGTGTGACCTGAGGTGTCTTGAGGGATCTCTGACAGTTTTTGAGCTGTGGGACAGTTTCTGGGTTGGGCCAGGTTCTTTATGGCTTCTTTGTCCTCACATGAAATATCTAGGTGATTAAATTCTGGGCAAGCAGGCATACCCTGCTGCTCATCATCAAACTCTATCCTAAAAGAACTTCCAGATTTCTTTGCAGTGGTCACAATCTCTTCCATCAGCTTCAATCATGTTCTCACTGCCTGAACTTCTTAGCTTATTTCAGACATAACTCATAGATCACAGTATATCATTAATTACACTTCCCTTTTCAGGCCTCTGATTAAACTCACACACTTCATCTGGCATTTCAAAAGCGACTTCAAGCCTGGATTCCTTTTCTGAAGTTACTTCCAAAAACCTATCCATAAATTAGTAGCTATGGTATGTTTATTAGTCTCCAGGACTTCAGACAGCATATTGATTCTGGGCAGAAGCTTAGCATCTGGTTTGTCTAAAGAATTTAATTTCCTACAACCACATGTTCCCATCATATTGTCCAGTACCAAGACACACACTCATTTAGGAGCTCCTAAGTGCTGTGCAGACTGACACTTACCACACAGCTCTTTATTGATTTGTAAAGAGGGTTAATGAATCAATATAGAGGATTTGTTGTTTTGTTTTGAGACAGGATCTCATGCAGCCCCAGCTGGCCTTGAACTCATTCGGGTAGCCCAGGATGACTTTCAACTTCTCATCTTTTTGCTTCCACCTTTAAAGTTTTGGGATTACAGGTGTGTCACCACACTGAGTTTATGGAGTGCTGAAGATCGACCCCAGGGTTTCATGCATGCTTGGCAAGCACTCTGTTCATTCAGTTTAAGGACTGTTATGCTTCTGAGTTTGTGCTTTTCTTGGTACATACTTGGTAAAATGCAAGCATATAACTAACTGTGCCCTAATCTGGTGATGTTTAAAATATGGAACAAGCCATATTTCAAGACCTCTTCCACTTCCTTTCTGGGTTCAATACCTTTCTCTTGCTTCTGAACAGGGTTGGCAAAGGCTAGAAAGACTGGCTTCTGAGTCTTTTAAAAGACATGCTTTTAAAAATATCTATTAAGCCCAACATTGATATATTCAGCATAAAGAGAAGCATATGATCTGAGATGCTCCATGTCTTAAGGTCTTCATATTTCTGAGATATCTGCCTTTAAATCATTACAATCACTATTTTCAAAGTTTGGGTCATGGTCTTCACTTTCTAACATGCTAAAAGCAAAGAAAGTTTAAGTTAACCCCCCCTTAAGATGTATTGTGTGTGTGCACACACATGTGCATGCACCCTCAGAGGCTGAAACTGGTGGTTGTGAACCAACCAGTGTGGGTGCTGTGAACTGAACTTGGGTCATCTGGAAGAGCAGCAAGTGCTCATAACCACTGAGCCATCTCACCAGACACTACTCTGGCTTTCTGCTTTTGCCCCTTACTACCTCTCTGCTGTGTTCCAGTGTGGCTCCCCACGTCTTGTCCATCTACTCTAATGGTTTTTCACTGTCTGCTCCCAAAGTTTTTGCAAATAGAACTTCTCATAGTCCTCCTGATGGCCCAGTCTTCAAACCACTCATCTCCAATCCATTTCTATCTCTGACACTGTGTTTCTGAGGCAAAACTGTCCTAGCAGACCAATGAGGGCCCAAAGAATAGCCCGGCTAGCTCAGTCGGTAGAGCATGGGACTCTTAATCCCAGGGTCGTGGGTTCGAGCCCCACGTTGGGCGCCATTTGTTGCTGGAGGGCTTCTCTCCAGGTTCCCCAAGCCCCGCAGTCCCACAATCCACTTATAAAATAATCACTCAGACGCTTGTATCACTTATAAACTGTATGGCCGTGGCAGGCTTCTTGTTAACTGTTCTTATATCTTAAATTAACCCATTTTTATAAATCTATAGCTTGCCACGTGGCTGGTGGCTTACCGGCTTCTTTACAATTTTCTTGTGGCATTAGTCAGGATAACCCCGTTATCTTTTCCTATAAAACTACATATTTTAAAACCAAGAGTATCCTCTATAGGAGAGTAACATAACCTATCACTTATCTACATTCAGGCTGTTTTTACTGTTTTGTTTTATTGAAAGTACAGTGCAAAACATCCTTTAAGAAGTATGTATTGCTTGACCTAATATGCACTATGTAAATTCTGGTGCTAGAAATTTCCACACTTTTGGAATGCCACTGCTGAGATTTTAGTTTTCTGTTAAATGGGGATTGGAGCAGGTTTAGTAGCATGATTCCTTGTAGGTCCATCTCCCTTTGCTACTACTGGCCCGTTTTCCATGGAGTATTGTGCTAGTCCAAATGGGAAACATCCTTTAACCGTCAGTGACACAGACCGAAGGGAGTCTCCATTCCTTCTCATTCTCTGACTTACGAAATGACACAAGTCTCATTTCTCTGTTCTACCCCCGAGCCCGAGTCTGGCAAGGCTGCGGGAAAGCGAACACTCCCAAGTGTTTCCCAGCTCTTATTCTCAGCATCATCACTCCAAAGCTCACATACAAATCCTCTAACAGGATTACAAGGTGTTCCCTGGTACTAACAGAAGCAAGATATGGGAGCTAGAAGAATTTGGAAAGAAAACTAAGGGAGGGACATCCTTCTTTCTCCAAGGGTCAAACTGTTTTTCTTGTTAACTGTGGTGGGCCATTTGTGATTTCTCACCAAGGGTGTAAAGCTCAAGGTTCTCTCCAGTTTCCT